CAACTCATCGGTCCCCAACTTTTTTTGCGCCACGACCGGTTCATGTCTGACAATATTTTCACTGCCCGGCCTTTAAGGTGTCGCGGTTAAATACAACAAAATAGAACCAGTACTGTTACCAAAAAAAGAAAGATTTATTCATAACACATGGGAAAAGACACAGGGAAACAGAGTTAACGATAAAAATGATTAAAAAATAACACTAAAAACCCTGAAAACCATGAATTTCATACCTGAGCCTCAACTCTCACTGCCCAGTACCAAACGACTCACGGTCCGTGGCCCGGGGATTGGGGACCGCTGGTTTAACAAACATAGGTTTAAAGCTCCTCTGCATTTGCTTCCCTTTTCAACTAACTGTTACACCACTCATTATGCACTTCATTTAATGCCACCACAACTCAACAGATAAAACGTATATGGTGAGGTGACGTCAGATACTAGATGTCGAAAAGGTCGCAGAGATCGCAACAATTTTCTTTGAAATTCCCATTCTGTTCAGGAAAAAGTGAGATATTCGTTTCTATTTCACTTTAGCAAGCCTTCTAAAAGCAGGCTGTTTTGCTGTGAGGTTTGGCAATGACTTAACTTGTCTATACCCATATGAAAGGTTTTTTTTGTTTTTTAAGTTCTTATTTCTTTCAGTTTTGAGTAAAATGACTAAACTGAAAGGGCCAAAAGAAAACAAAATGACCACTGGATTTAAAGTAAATTTGTATGTTCTTTTTTTTTTATGTTCCGAGGCAGCCTGGGATTTGCTTTCTGACATATCTGTCCTGCTAACAGGGTCACAGTGTAGTTTATTGTAACTGAATAATCGCTGTATCCTCCTTTAAACCTCTGCCCTCCACACTCTCTTAACAGTGTACTCACTGGAGGCCCAGTGTCCTCTGTCTCTCTCCCACCCTCATCCCCTCCCATGCTGTTGTTCCCCCCCGTCGGTGACACTGTGTCCTCTCTTGCAGTGACCCAGTCGAGGGAGCCGGGCTGGCTGGAGGGGGAGCTGGAGGGGAAGAGGGGCCTCATCCCTGAAAACTATGTGGAGATGCTGTAGAACCAAAAGGAAATATTTATGGACATTTCATCACGTTCGCCGAGGGAAGTATGGGAAGATGCACGTGCCTCGATAGCCTCGTTCAATCGAAGCCCTGAATTTTCTCAATCAGTAATGACAACACCATATGATGTTATTGGTGCATTTTTGTTTGTTTGTTTGTTTGTTGCTGGCAAGTAGACTTTACAATGCATTTGCAAGCATGTTTATGTTTGTTCATTTTAGCCAAGTGTTCACCTGATTTTTGACAATTGTAATTGCAAAATGGGATTGCACTTCCAGTGCTCTGCTGTATATGAAGATGCTGTAGCCTCTATCCAAGGAACTTAGCAGAACCAGAGGAGAAGCGTCTCTCTAAGCGCCCTCTGCCCTGTTATACATGGTATCCATGAGCTCAAAGTCAAAGGGTGATCTTCAGAAACCACAAAGTAGAATGTCAGCACTCAAAACCACTGTAACATTTGACCCCCTCACAACCCCCCACAGCCCTTGACATTGATCCACGCAAATTTGTTTGAGATACCCTTTGTGCCTTCACAGTCAAAGCACCCGGTGTAAACATGCGTACGGGTATGTATGAAAACGATTGGGCGAACTTTTCATTTATACGATTTTGCGATGTTCTGTTCTTTTGAGAATAGCCAGACATGCAAAAGGAGGCACACTGCTGATGTAATTGTATTTTGTGTAATTGGCGCATTGATTGCACGTTTTGTTTTGTCCTTCTTTTTTTTCTCATTTTAATTTACAGTGCCGTATCGTTGCTGCCGCACTTTTTCAGAAACGCCTCTTAGCCACCCGATGGAACCTGTTGGGTTAAACACTAACACCTGACAATCAGCCACAGTCGATTTCGGCAGGTGATCGAAACCAAGTGTTTTTCTTCTCAAATCCTCCGTTTGGTTTGTTGTTGTTCGAGTTCAACGTTACTCAGGTTCTTCAGAGCAAAGGAATGAGACACTCCCAGAAAGTCTGAATTTTGACTTTTATTAGTTCTTTATTAACTTATCGGAAATGTGTGTTTTATTGTGAGCGAGACCACGAAATGCAGTACTTTGAAATATTTGTACCATTTCGCATCCATCGAGTGTTCAAAGCCCTAAAGAGTTACAACCAAGTATATTTACTGTGCTAAGTAATGGATGGGTTTTTTTAGGTTGTCATTTAGATTTGGTTTTAGCATGTGCGCACACCATAATACATTTTATCCTTCAGCTGTTCAGCGAAACACTTTCATTTGTCTGAGAGCTTTGGTTCAGCTGATTGTTTGTGTTTGCAGCTGAGGTTACAATAATTTAAGACAATGATTTATGACGTTTGTAAAGGTTCTTGGCTTTTCTCTCTCTTTTTTAAAAATTTACCTTTGGGTAACTTCTTGATCAATGTTAAACAAATAAAGATATCTATTTTTGTTCTTTCACTGCATTGCATATTCTTGTCATGAAAAAATACGATAAATGATTTATTTATTTATTTATTTACAAATTAAGGTCTTTTAACGGTTTCTTTAATTATTGGACTAATCTCACAACAGCCTATTAAACAACACACATTTCATGGCCATATTGTGCCGACTGAGAGTTATAACGAATGTTTGCTGTTTAGATCTTTGTCTGGGAAATGTGCAGCTTTATTAATGTGAAACGTGTGTGGTTTTTTTGCTGATTCATCCATTGTGTCACTGAAAAGGCTCCCAGTTTCCCACAGAGTCTAAGAATAAAATGATGAAATGCGGATTCATCCTGCAGCCACTTCACATACACTGAACCCTGTGGTGTAATGTAATCCTTCCTCTTTATATTGACCTGCGCTGGGCCCCTCCGACTAAAAGCTACTTCCAAAAAAACTTTCCATAAAGGGATTAAAAATAGATGTTAATCTTTTATGGAGGAAAAACACACTAATCCACCCTCCTCACCCCCACCCCAACACTCCCTGATCCATTAACATCTCAGCCTCACGCATGTTAATTCTTAGACTACATCTGTGTAATTAACACACCAAATGGCCTCCAGACCCAGAGCTTCGGCCTCTGTTACATAATTACCATCAGTGCACCCCCTGCTACACTCAGGCCTCCAGTGAACGGGCTGCTGCGCTGTTTAGCAGCGTAAACACATGCAGGCTTTGTCCATTTAAAGAAAGGTTTTTAGTGGTTTTAGTGGGTGACACATGTCCACCAGCCCCCCTGAAGCAACTGTAACATTAACATAGGCATAGCGAATGAGATGGGCACAATAGTCCCTCAACTACCACAACCGCCACCACCACCCACTCCTATAGCTCTTCATCATCTTCCCTCCACCAGAATACTTCTGAATCATAGACGTGCGCCCTGCCTGCCTCTCACACTCTGCTTTGGACTGTCAGTCAGAAAGCATGCCATGCTGCAACAATCTGCCTACCTATCTCTCTCTCAGTAGTATTTAGGCTCATCTCTGCTCCCTGCTGCCTCAGCCAGTGATTCACTGAGGCTCTAGTAGTTTCAAAATCAATTAAGCTCCATTCACTTATTAGTTCTCGTCATTGTGTGAAATTGTTGAATAGGAACAGCGTTGGGCTTTTCATATTTGAGGCTTGTTGAGCTGCCCTCCACTGCCACTTAAGATTGAGGTCAGCCTACCTGTGCATGCATTATTCATTAGTGTGCATCAGACTGGGGTGATGTATACATCAGTGTCACAATGTCGACTTACTTGATGCGTGTGAGTAAAAAAATCCAGATAGATGTGTTCATTTCTCACATCCCAGCCCCCCACCGGCTGTGTGCCAGCTGTCCTCTACCTCCCATGACGCAGTGTCCTTCAGCCCCCAAAACACACACACACACACACACCATGCCGTGACTCAGCCCAGATCAAAGCAGCGCAGCAGTTTACCTACAACCGTGAGAAAATGGCACAACTGCCTTAATACTTTCCTGTGTCTCCATCACGCTTCACACTCGTAGAGGGAATTTGGAGGAAAGTGAATTTCAAACATAAAGGAAAGAGTGTGTTTTCGTGTGTGTGCGGAAAGGGGGTGGGGGGGGACTCCTCAGCTGAGAAAGTGGGCCACAGAAGCCGCCATGTGTGCGGGTGCAGCCGTGAAATCAGCCTGATCCAATAGATTCTGTTTATCTGGCACGACTACAAGTGAAAGCAATTGGAAATCTGGGGGAGATTTGGAGAGGGCTGTGGATTCACAGAGAGAGAGAGGGAGAAGGAGGAAAATGAGCAAAAAAAAAAAAAAGTAATACTGTCTGCTCTACAGTCTGGCAAAGCAGGCGTGTTTTCAGATCAGCCTTTAACAAGGTTAATGGTGATTTTTCTCCACAGGCGCCGTTTTACTGTAAAAGTCTCACGCTTGCCCGCTGCCTTTATTCTGTTTTATTCCTTTATTCCGCTGTCATTATTCACTCTTCCCTCTTTCTGTTTCTCTTCATCTCCTCTCCTACTGAATAGCGTACCTGCTGATGCTTCTCTCTGTTTTGTTTTGTTTTCTTTACCGTATTAATATCACCGCCAACCAAATGCAGCTGTTCCAAATACATCCATCAACTCTTATAGTTTGGGGCGGGGATATCAAATACAAGACCCGGGGGGGCAGAATCGGTCCGGCACAGACCGTTTCCTCCTAATAAAGATCTTCCCCTTGGTCATTTTTCATTTTTTCTTCTTGTTGGTCCAGAGTAAAAATGTAGTTTAATCACAGGACAGTCTTGGCAACTACAAGCCAGAGCTTTTTATGTTATGTTGCACATCTATTTACTTACAATTTCAGTTCAACTATATATTAACAGAAAGAGTGAATTTCAATGGTCACTTAAGATCAAAGTGGGCTATATGCATCCCATGATGTGAACGAGTTTTCTAGCTTCTTCTCATTGGTACAGATTTTATCGCACACGTCTTTAAAACACACACACGCACACAGTTGCACACAACCCATAAATTACAACAAATGCTTCAATTTAATGGTTTTTTTATTAGAATCTTGCAATAGTTTGCAAACACAAGTATGGCAATATCTGCATCAAGATATACAGTAGTAACTGCTTTCGAAGATGTTTTATTGGTTTATAGTGAGGGTTGTCTACTGTATGTTTGCTGAGAATTATTATACAAAGCATCTGAGTAAAAAAGTCAATTTTCAAATTGGAAAAAGAAAGAAACTAAAAAAAAACGAAAAAAAGGTTGTATATATTTATAAGAAAATGCACTGCCATGGCTGTGGAGATATGGCTTAGTCTCTCTACACCCGAATCATTATTGTGAACAGAGAATGGTGATGATGGGACTCCACGTACAGTGACTCCACCAAAGTGTACTGTGACACAGCAGTTAGAAAAAAATAAAAACAGACAAATATCCCGAGTTATCCCGAGCCGACAGGGAGGGAGTTCATTTAGGAGCCGACAGCTTTGAAGATAGAGCCGCTCCCCCAAGTACGGGGGTAAGGGTTGATTTTATTGTTTGCAGTGGGCGGTGATTGATGACCATTAAGTAAACAATACATTAATCTTGCTCCTCCGAAGCATTGCCTCGACACTTGGGGGAACACACACTTACAGTCCCTTTTAGCGGAGAGTTAGGAGATGAGATGTTTTGATACCGCTCTCAGTCGGCTGATTTAGAATTCAATTTCCCCAAAATTTACCAGACTGACCGTAGACACTCTCACATCAGCCACAATGCAACTCCACCACGGATGGTGCCAAAGCCCTTCAACAAATGCCTCCACACGTTGATCCGGGCAGTTATTTTGAATTTGAATGCTCACTGGGACATTAAACATCCAGTGTTTAAAACGAATTGCAGAATCTGCCCCTAAATAACATTTTAAAAAGGTTTTACCTCTAAAAATGATACTTCTACCGTGACCTTTGCCGTTGTGCGAGTGCCAGGTCTGTCTCCTCTCCTATTATGCCAGCAGTGGCTCATATTCAAACACTCTGGTCTTGAGCCCCACCTGACGGCGCCTCAAACGACACCATTCCCTGCTGTTTCCCCTTGTTTCAAGTCTTTATGTTCAGCCTAAGCAGATTTCTGATTTCAACACAGGAGTGACGCTCATCTTCTTATCTAGCTCTCTGCAAGCAAGCGAACAAGTGCGTGTCCCACTAAACTATGTCCAAAAGTACTTATCAAAAAAATAGCCAGCTTATATATCTGGAGGACGATAAAGGAGATGGAGCTTGATAACATCATCATCTTTGCATTTTTTGATACTTTTAATTTGAAGGTCCAGAAGAAAAAAAAAGTGTGTGTGTGGGGGGGGGTGTCATAATTGAAATTGGCTGGATGGTCGGGTATACCGCAGCTTCTCTCAGTGTGTGCACAAAGCCAAAAATAATGTTCTGTCACATAGCCGCAATTTCAATAGTTTGTGACTTCTTGATTTTTATTGTGGTGCTCATCAACAATTACCGCCACGGATTAGGAAATCATTTCAACAGCAACAAGGATCCATCACTTCATACATCTCGTTACAAAATAAATCCTTTTTTAAATTGTTTCTTTTTTTTTTCTATGAGTCGGGGAACAACAATGCAAAAAGTAAAAAAAGAAAAAAAAGAAAAAAGATGCAGAATCAAATAATTTTACTTAATAAGAAGATAATAAATGTTCTCTCTCTAACATTCAGGTAGTAAGTTCCATAAGTCTCTCACGATGTATGATACATTCATTTCTCTGTTTGGCCCTTTTCCTGGTGCCAACCCCTTTCTTGAAATTCTCCTCTGTGATCCGACACACAGGACATGGCGAGTGGGAAACACACATTAATTTTTTTTTTGTTTGTTTGTTTTTGTCATTTTTTTCTCTCGAATATTCCAACAAGATGGTTAAAGTAGAAATGTTTTATACTACACTCAACATAAGGACTTGCTGTATTATTTACAATATATACTGTAAAACTGTAAATCAGGTGAGATAAAAAGGCACAAGTTTCCCTTTTTTTCTTTTTAAATACAATGTAAACATCTCATCAAAAAGCATGCAATAACATTTCATTTTACAAAAAGGATATCGTTTTTAGACAAAGTACTTAAATATTGTTTTCCAGCAAAATATAATTCTCTCAAAAATACTTTCCCATTCATCCTATGAACCTTTAGACAGTTTTTTTTTAAAAATTTGAATTCTTGAAAAGAAAAAAGGAAAAAAAAAGACAAGAAGCAAAATAAAGAAACAGTGACAGATCAGCGTAAGGGCACGGCAAAGATGAATCGGGTACTGCATGATAATGACTGCGCAGGAGAAATTATTATAAAGTTTATGGCAAAACACAAGAATCCTAGCCTTCATGAGTGAACCGGGCCCACACACACACACACACAAACCTCTTTGTGAATTACTGAAAAAGGATTCGGATTTGGGAATGACAAAAAGTTCAAATACCCTGCTTTGCTTTCCTCTCCCCCAAAAATACAGTATCGAATGACAGTCGTGATCCCAACAATGCCAACCTCCAAGCAGTTATGTAAATAAGTAAAATCACCTTGACTGATTTTACTTACTTACTATCTTTTTACACCAACGTCCAAGCAATTAATGACGTAAGTAAGTAACAGCCCTTTTCCACTAGTACCTACTCAACTCGACTGACTCAACTTTGGTTGTTTTCCATTACAATCGAGTACCAAATACAGTACAGTAAGTCCCATGACACAAACACAACACAACAATGGAGGATGAGCTACCTGCTGCTCGGTCTAGTTCTTTTGGTCAAACTCGAGGACCACAGTGTTGTTTGTTCGTGTAGCCATTTTTCTCCTTGCTGGGTTTCAAAAATTTTGGTGAAGGAGTCGCTGTCATGACTTGTGGAATGACGCCGCTGGCTAGGCAATCAGTGCCATGTGGCCTGTTGATGTAACATTTTCGGTTAGCTTCAGATCGCTTGGAACAACCGCCGAGAAGGTACTAAAAAAAGAACCTGGTAGCAGGTACTACCACCTACTCGAAAACCCTTAAAAACCAGGTCAAGTCAAGCTGAGTAGGTACAAGTGCAAAAGGGCTATAAGTAAGTAAAGTTACTTACCTACTTACTCTGTTATGCCGACTTCAAAGCAAATAACAACACAGACGAGACCTCAGATGAGCACGAGGCCACAAATACAGCACGCGGCCACCCTGATGTGGTAATGATGTCGTCTCTAACTTTAGGCCGGGGTGACCATGCAGAACGATTTGCCCCCCTCCCCCACCCCGCATTATCACAGTTGCTTATCGAAACAGAGAATTCCTACGAGCTGCACTGACGCCTCATTTCACATTGTATCTTCTCTGTGCAAAAAATCTAAATGTGGAAATAGGATAATCCTATAACATTAATGCATAATACCCACGCCGAAAGAGCAGATCATCTATGCACATGCTTGCCAGGAGGAAAAAACAAAACAAAAAAAACCGCACACGCACTCCATACACACATGTAAATACACACTTACAGGGCACGAAAAAAAGAATAGTAATATTCACACACCAACCCCCCCTCACCCTCCCCTTGCACACACGCGCACTCTTTTTCTTCCCCAGCGACTCTGTCGTTTTTCAGTAGCATCATAGTAGTGTTCCACAACCACCCGGAAACCAGTGGGGTGTGAGACGAGCTAATGGTCCAGATGACTGGGCCTCGCCATGCTTTTAAAATAGTAGCACTTGGCCCAAAGATAGGAAAAAGAAAAAAAAAAGGAAATAAGCAAAGTGAGGGAAAAGTGATCATACCAACACATCTTCATCAAGCTCTCGTTGTCGTGTACCTCAAAAACGTCTTCTGTACAACAGCTGAATAGAGTGTGTTTTTAAGAAGTTAATACCTGTACACATCTGCCTGGGGTTTGATACGTTAGCTGTTTTTACTGTAAGCACTGCAAAGAGTTAACGCTCCGTCTTGGATTATATCGACTTTACAGAGTATGCGTGTTTGAACTGCGAGCCCACGTGGCGTACTGCGTGGACTGTTCTACCAAGTTACTGTACATGTTATGTTTTGCCTGGCTTTTGTAGAAACGAAGCACCTTAAATGTAAAACGACTGGCTTGTCAAAAACTTAAAACCTTTGCAACACACGTTTATTTAAAAAAATGCTTTTTATTCTTTCTGGGAAGAGTAGATAAGTGTCGGTTCACAAAGGGCTGGTTTCGCTTCATTGTGAGTAAAAACAGACATTTGGACAGCTGCTCTGGAGATAACACAAATAACAGCAATTACTATGGATGCACCTCAGTCAAATCCATTACCAGCGGACTGTACTGAAATTGTTTCCGTAAATGCATTATGTTTTTCCATCCCGCCGCGCTCCTGACCATTTCTGCACAAAGGTAAGAAGTCTCTTGTCAATATTGTCTTTAATTCTACACCACCACGCCTCTAAAATAGTGACTTTATGACATGGGAGCATCACGTGCAAAGCTTTCTTTTACACGAGAGAGAGACGTTTGTGTTTCAAAACAGCTTTAGCTTTGGACTTTTGCATATTAGTTTTGATTGTTTGACTACACATTTTAACTTTGAAAAAGAAAAATCAGCATGTAAATGTCAGTGATGGCTTATATGATACCGATTTTAAAATTGAACCTTGTTAAATTTGATGCGACTATTCAGCTTAAGATGATCCTTGTATAGCCCTTGGAATATATTCAAATAGACCTTTGTCTATTAAGTCTAGATTTTCTGTGCCTCCTCATTAATGTCCTTTTTTTTTTTTCTTTTTTGCCCTGCAGTCTCGTCACTACACTGCAAAGCAAATGTAAATATTGGCATAATTTTTTTTCATAGTGCTATTATCTGTGAAAGACTGCATAAGCCAGAGTTAATATTTGCAACAAAACCTTTTCTCTAGATTTGTAAGTAAGGGAGTCCCATTTCTAGTGCATGTGGAGTGCACCTGTGCATTTTGTGTGAAGGCATGTGGACAGTTAAGTGTGTCGATTTCCCTCTACGTGTGTTTGTGTGTGTTTGTGTGTGTAGTGAATGTATCTAGTGCGCCCTAAGAAATGTATGGCTTTATCTCCATAGAAAATACTGTTATCGTCTTTGGGGCAGGGGGACATTGGTGTACTTCGGGATGCTTTGTCACATTTGTCACAAGTCCTTCTCGGTGTGTCGCGCTCGGCTTCTCAAACTATCCGCAGCTCTAAACCGCTCGTGGTGACTGCAGGGTCAAAACCTTCTCCCCCAAACTTTCTCTTGTTTTCTTTTCTTTTTTTTTCTAAATCTTTCCATCCAGTACGAGGACGCTGGCATACTGAGCGACACGGTGCGGGCCAGCAGGACGGGCCTTCCCAGCACATTTCTTCTCTTCCCTGAACTTTTCTCGCTCCTCTTTTTCGAGTTCTTAATGCCGCTTCTGTCCCATCTGTGTAAAGAGTCACTTCTTGTGGAAGTAGATCGTGTGAGTGAGGCCTGACTCCACCTTTGGTATCTGGTCACTGATGATCTCCACCAACATTTCGGGGAATTCCACCTTCAGGGCCTGGGACTCACGAAAGGTGTAGAAACAGAAGTCCAACAAGTTCCCCACCAACTGGAGACCACAGAGAGAAAAATATGATTATTAGAAACATAACTGGGTTTTTTTCCACTTTATTTTCTAAATTCTAAATTATTTCCTACTTACCAGCGTTGTGCAAAAGTCTTAAGTCACCCCTAATTTCTTTATATTTTGCTAGAAAAGCAATTCCACTTTTCTGAGTTTGGAATTCCATACATTTTGACAAGATTCCCAACACCACTGGCTCTAATGCAGTCCAAAACCATGGCTGGGCCCATTCTCTTAACCTTCTCTATATATACTGATGACTTTAACCATAAATGTCATATTTGGATTAATTTCTTCATCAGACGTGCTGAAAGTGTAATCTGTTTCCTTTCATTGAGAATGGCTTCATGATACACCTCAAACTGGTTCATCTCTTGTGTTTTACACTTGAATTATTCACAGGTACACTCATTTTCAGTCCACTTCTTGTACCGACTGAAAATGAGTGAAAAAGCAGCCAATAAAGGAAGTTCAGAAAGCCTGGAGAACAACTGCTTAAGACCACTTTAAAAAATTGCAAGAAAGTCTGACTCCTTGGAAGCGATATATGAAGACGCAATACTTTCACACAGTACTGTACTGTACATGTATATTTTTTTAAATGTGTGTAAACTGCAACTGAATTTCACTGATTGTCTTTACCACTTGGGGGCACCACTGATTTTTGTCTGGGCAGATGACCCTTCTTTAAAAGAAGGGTCATCTGCCCAGCACTAACCCCATTCACTCAGTCATTAGGGTCGTTGAATCTCTACGACTGGTCTCTCTTGCTAACGCTCACCTCCAGAGGCTGTGCCTACACTGTCATTCTCCCACGCACTTGTTGACCCGTACATTTAAAAAAAACAAAAAAAAACTCATTTTGCACATTTGCTATGGTGACCAGTGTGAACTCCAATAAACTGCAAGCTGATATCGATCCCCTTTTGTTCCATTCACCAATACGAGCCTCATCACTGCCTTTTCCAAAATAACCTTCCCTCAGGGAGAAAATGGGATGTAATAATCCTTATTCCAAGCCACAGCACCATTGAACTGCTAAGTAAACACATTATCCAAATCCACTATTTTGCCATTTCACTGAGAACATTTCCAGTCATATCAGAGCCCTAAAGTGCATAACTAGGCTGCCAAGGGAAGGCAGTACTGTATGCAACTGGCAAGGGGGGGGGGTCAAGGGTACTTACATCATGCATGGCGTCCAGCAGCTTGGTGAGCTGGAAGAAGCGCTGCCAGGTTTGGCCGGAGTTGTTGGTTGCTTTTCCCACCGAACGCCGGAGCTCTTTAATGTAATTAACCCTCATCTCCTCGAACGCCGCCTGGTTCTTCAGACCCTCTTTGGGAACTGGGAATCAGACAAATCATTATGTCATTGATATGGATGCAATGACTGTACAACATTTATTTAAAACAATTTACATTTTAATGACCCAATACTAGCAATCAGGACTAAACAGTGGAGACTTCTCTTCTTAAACCTGTTAGCCGTTTTGACATGACTGCAGGGGACTTTGTACTGAACAGCCAAGCCTGCGATTCCATTAGACATATACAGGAAGAAATATTCGCCTAATGTGTCTCTATTGTGCTCTATCTGGGCTACGCTGAGAGCTGCTGAATGCTTTTCAGATAATTAATGGTATTATCACAATAAATATTCAGTGGGCTGTAGGGTTGATTTTAAAAAGCAGGAATCTGAAGAGCAAGTTAATGTTCAATTTGTCATCTGTGGTTGTATTTTAAAACAGTGAGGGCAATGTGTTAAAGTAATGATCAGGACTGTTGGGTGACAGTGTTGGTTTTCTTCTGTATTCGTTATCAAAGTAGTCAAAAACAGGTGTCACCAGCGTAGTAAACATCAATCCCACATTAGAAAAAACGTAGTTATCCACATTTTCTCATCAAGTTGGTTGTATTTGGGATGTTGTGATGTGATGAAATTAAAAGTAAGAACTACTGTACTATGACATCCAAAAAGCTTTTGATTTGAAAGCCTGAAGAACAAATGTTAAAAAAAGCAAAATGTATATTTCATACAGTTTTAGTCTGGCAGTTTGTTCCTGATGTAGCTCAATATACTGACTGATATTACATCAACACCTGATCTTGGTCTATCCCATCTATATCAGTACTGGCACATTTAAACTTACAAATACACATAAACATAAGAGTTTTATTTTTTTTTAGAAAACACAAATATTACAAATAGATGCCTGAAGTAATTTAAAATGGGCTCATCTTGTAATTGTGGCTCCAACTCCACTGTTTACAATACTGCTGCCACTGTAATCAGTAATGGCCAACAAACTGTATATAAAAGATGGAAACAGGTTGCAGGCATAAAGATGGACATAGCTACCATGAACCATCTGGTGGTTCGTGAAGACTCAATTTGAAACCTTGAGGTTAGCGTTTTCACTATTGCCATTTTAGCTTCAAAAAACATATGCGATGAGGAGGGGCGGGTGTGACTGTGAAACCTCCAGCTCATTGGCTGCTGACTTGTCAATCACATGCTGTTAGCCAACGTGAAAGTTTCTAAACCTGCATTCTTCTTAATGACCAGCAGGGGGCAACTCCACTAGCTGCAAAGAGATTCCCTGCTCCTCCGCTCCCAGTCACCGTGACCTCAGTAAGCACTTTTGTGATGACATCAATCACTAGTTTTAAGTGTTACTGAGTAAAACATGAAGATCACTTTGTAAATGATGGTAGCCAGTAGAGTGAAAAAGGAGGATAAAGTAAGGTACTCTTCACCGTGCGAGTGACGAGTCATCAGCCATTGAGCATGCAGTTTCACAGTCAGATCCACCCCCGTGTGATGGTTGGTTTCTCAAAAGCTACAATGGTGATAGAAAAAAAAAAAGCTCATCTTGAGGTTGTAAAAAACAGCTTTAGTAATCAGCAGTTGACACGACAACGGCTGCATCCGTCTTTCACATGCAACTCATTTTATCCCCCCCCCCCCAAAAAACAATGTTGGTCGGGTTGGGCTTTTTACAACATTCATTCTTAGCTGTTTGAGAATTCTTGAAAACACCAAAAGGGAAGTTGTTTTTTTGTTTTTAACCATTCATAGTAACTCTGCTCAAAACAAAGCACATTACTAATTAACTGTGACTGTTTTCCTGTCTCGCATGTTTCTGAATTGATTTTCCTGTCGTGCTGAAACATTTGACGCATTTTAAAAATGTCTGGAACATGCGTGTTAAATATGATTTGCAGGTAATGGGCTAAGCCATGCACATCCCGCGGTATGTTCCTTTAATGTGTAACTGTGTTAAGGGTAATTAGAGGTGCTTAGTGAATTATGCTCTGACACCCACACAGTAGCCTGTTTTTGCACATTTTCAACCTGTGCTGTTGACCTGAGCCTATTTAGCAACTCATTACAACCACTTTCACCATTTCAAGTAGTAATTAGTTTCCATGTGTAGCAGCTGGTTCATGAAGGATGACAGATATAGTGAAAGGCATTGATTCAAAGTTATCTCAGAAACAGTGAGAGCAGAAAAGGAAACAATGGTGCTTATGTAATTTAAAGGGCCTAATAATTTTGTTAGCCAAACCTAATTTATTAAACACAACGTTCGGCGCCCGGAGCTATTAAATAACGTCAACCTTTCATTCTCATAATAATGACTTGGATTGTGGCACTTAGAGTTAAAAACTGGTCTATTAGAAATCTAGATAATAATGGGGAAAAAAACACAGTAATTACACCACGAAGATCCATTTAAACATCTACAGTATCATTTTGTCTCACTCTGTCTTCCCACCTGTGCAAAGGATCATGTCATGGATACATAAAAAAAAGCAATGCATCCTGGGGTTTTAGAAAACGAGCTATTCAGTTCAATTCAATTTGATTTATATAGCACCAAATCACAACAGCAGTTGCCTCAAGGCCTTACCAGCTAAAATGATTTAAATACAATCTGAGATGAACAAAAACAACACAACATATTTCACTGTGCCATTACTTATTTAACACAAGTAAGCAAAAACTGCAAAAGCGGTGTGCGCAATACTGAGTACAACCTATGACTCAACAATTTGTAGAAGCATCTTAAGCAGCAATAACTTGGAAGTCCCACCACAGGACTGTTATCAGGGTTGAGGTCCGGACTTGGACACCTTGATCTGCTGCATGATCCAGTCTAGGCCAACCTATAGCTGTTGGACAGATGGCCTCATATTTGACTCTAGAATACTTATACTACAGCAGAACAACTATAAGGTGCTCGGGACCTATGGCTCCAAAACAAGCCCAAATCATCACTCCTCCACTACCGTGCTTGACAGTTGGCATGAGGTGTTTGTGCTGATGGTTTCACCAAATGTGGCACAGTGGACGTTGGCCAAACATCTCTACTTTAGTCTTGTCTGTCCAAATGACACCGTTTGAGAAACCTTGTTTGTTCGGATGCAACCTTTTAAGTTGTGCCTTAAAAGTGCCTTTTTAGAGAGAAAATCCTTCCTCGTGACATCCCTTCCAAATGTTCATCAACTGAAACCTGAGTGAGTCTGATTTGTTGTTGTTCCGAAAGAAGCTGTAAGAGTGTATTTAATTTTCAATTTTGTATTCTTCGCTTGAGTTTACCAAAACAGTTTCTTTTCATATATTTATTTGTATCATGTCCTGATATGTAAAACCTCAGAGGCTGTCTTTTCTTATTCACATGACTGTATGCATGCCTGCTAAACCTCTTAAATAACATTCTGCTGCTGCCAAACAAAGACACATCTCACCTCTCAAAGCTTAAAAATCAGGTGTGCTCTTTGAGGCAACACCTATAGTTTTCCTAAAGCCAAAATCAAAAAATGATGCTTTACAACACAGTAAGGCCTCAAATTAATACAACATAAAAGCTGCTGGAAGGTCGAGTGTGTTTTGAAAATGACACGTTGATTTTGATACTTCTAAAATATGTCAGTATTAATGGTGCCTTCACAGATGTGCAAGTTACACATGGTAAGTGCAATAATTAACTCTGTTCCACCATCACTGGCTTTTGAACTGCACAGTCATTCACAAACCAGATGGTTCATCTCCTGTTTAGCCTGGAGGATGCAGCATCTGTTATTTTCACAAAGAATTAAACAATTTTTTTTATATCAAACCAAATGACAGCTTTCTGTTTCACTTCAGTCCCTCTTAATTTAGCTCAGGATGAGAAATGAAGTGTTTCTGGATCTTTATATAAATATACATGTGTGTGTGTGTGTGTGTGTTTTCTTTTACATGATGAGTTTTGTAAATGCACAGACAAAAATATGTTGCTCAGGTCATGCAGTGATTTCTGCTACAGAATTATGTGTTTCTAATACACTGGTGACTAAGGGCTCAGAGATCATGGCCATTTAATACCGGTTGTCATCTTTGTCACTTGCATATAGAGATTTATTCAGTTTCTTTTAATCATTTTACAATATTATGCACTGTAAATGATGACATCCCCCCAAATTCTTTACAATTTTTATTTTGAAAAATTGTATTTTTTAACTACATGACACAGTCTTTACACACTGGTGAACCCCTCATTATCTGAAACACTGTCAGCCTCTCAGAACAGCTCTTTTTTTTCCCCAAATCTTGTTAATGACCTGTTGCTAGTTAACCTAATTACCTACTGAAACATGTTCAATAGGAACACGTTGCTGGCCTCAAGCTCCAAACATCTTATGAACAACAACGATCAGCTGATAGGGCTTGTTTGAATTCTGCAGAGTGAACAGCCACAGGCAAAGCCGGCATCTTGTCAGTCAAAATTGCAGGTTTTTTAAAACAGATCTTTGAGAGTGTGTATTTTGGTGTGTGTGTGCTCCTTCTTGTCTCTTTCTATGTAATTCTTTTCATCATACTTTTAGGCACAATCACCTCCAGAAAACAGATTGTACCCTGGTGCTGTGATTTCTGTGCTGATTTCATGGCTGACATGATGAGAATGTGCTAAAACCCTTGGTCGCATTTGGACCTTTTGTTTTTCTCCCACTGACCCACATACACCCTGATTAGAAACTGACCTGGCATTCAGGGGCGGTACCATGACCGGCCCTAAAATAGGGCATTTATACCACTATAAATGATGTCAAATTGATTTTTGCTGCAGGTCGAGAGCAACTTCAACTGGGCTGCATTTCTTTTTTGGGAGTTAAGACGCTGCACCGTGTGCACCGCAACCACCGAACAGCTCTTTCTCTTAATGTGTTTCAAAGGAAGCAGCGCATATCTAATGCCGAGAGAAGATGCTCTTAGCATGCGTTGTGCCAAACTACGTGCAGCTTCCTGCTCTCGGTAGCTACATGCCTAACTGACAGGGTGGCTCTTGGTTTCGATTTACT